ACACACCTGGGGTCTAACTGCCTTGCTATCTGATTGCCTCTGACCGGAATACCCTATTAAGCCCCTGATCCCCACGGCCATGACTTCTACCTAGTTCAGGCATCACTTCCTCCAGGAAGTCTTTCCCATTGCTTCCGGCCAAGGATGGTTTGGGTTCCTTCCCTTATATGTCACAAAATAGTCCATACACATCTTTATCTAAGCTGTATTCTAATTATGCTTATCTCTGTGATCCTCCAACTAAACTGATTCCTTATGGGAAGGAAGTTGGTTTTATTCATTTCTGTATGCCCAGGACTCAATGAAGGAAAACGCAATAAATATGTATGCATGAATTAATTAAAATGACCCCAACAGTCAAAGGCAGACCCAGAACTAGAAGCAGCTGCCCTGGCGTCTTGTATCAAGCCCAGGGCATATTAAACTAATGTTGCATGAGATAACCACAACAACAAAAAAGTTTAAAAGGAATAAAAATTATTCTAACACAATTTAAACATACACCAAACACAATTCCAAAACAATGATAACTTCCTGTTCTGCTCCTGTAGCTCCTCACACCAGGCCCTTCTGAGGAAAAAAAAATCCCACTATTCATGTAATTGTGGAGTACTACGTAATAGGGAGACAGAAAGCACTCTTCCATCCCAGCCAAGTAGACCCTTAACCAAAATGACTGACAGTCCTTATAATTTTAGCCCAGGGAGTTAGGGATACTATTTTTATTCATATCACTATTTAACCTTTTTCCTTCAGTAATATACTGGATGACACTAATTTGTATGGTTAATTATACAGTCCCTCAAATGGAATAGATTTTACTTTAGCTTTCTTTTATTGAATTCACAGAGCCATCCCAGGGGAATATTACAGCCAAATGAAAAGTCATTTCGCCAAATGAAAACTTACTTCAGAAAGTGCCTGTGTAAGAATGGCTTTTTTTTTTTTTTAATAACCCTACCGACTTGGTTAGACACAGAACCTTTGCTTTTCTTCTGCTGCTTTCTCCTATTTCTAATTTGGTGTCATATCTATTTCATGCACAGTAACAACCAAATGTTTTGCTACAGGGACACAGACTGATCATCTTGGACTTCCAGCAACCAGCAGACACTGTCTTATGCATGGTGGTTATTGATAAAGCATTAACTAGCCTTCATATCAACACCATTGTCTTCTAATAACCCTTTGGCTTATAGCCTTTTGATGAATTCTCCCTCCAGAAACACTGTTTAGGTATATACCAGGCACTTTTGAGTCCTAAGAACCATGCTGTGGAAAGGGAAAGGGAAGAAGAGACTTGGGAGGAAAAAGAGTAAGACCAGCTGTTTCTTCTACTCAAAGTTCATTTCAGTCATTCAATTACACATTCGGCAAATATTTATTTTGTATCTACTTTATGCCAGTCACTATGTTAGGTGTAGTTCTTTAACTCTTGGCTTTAGCTGACAATAGGTGAAAATGTTTTCTGGAAATAGAATTTTTTATTTTTTATAGCATTGAAAATGTATTTGGACCACCAACGAGTTTTGTTTTATTAAGAAATTTCCAGCCAGGCACAGTAGTTCATGCCTGTAATCCCAGCACTTTGGGAGGCCAAGGTGGGAGGATGCTTGAGGACAAGATTTCAGGACCAGTCCAGGCAACATTGCAAGACTCAGTCTCTACTACAAAAAAAAAAAAAAAAAAAAAAAAAAAAAGCCAGGAGTGGTGGTATGCCTATGGTCTCAGCTACTCAGCAGGCTGAGGCAGGAAGATCGCTTAAGCCCAGGGGTTTGAGGCTGCAGTGAGCTATGATCATACCTGTACTCCAGCTTGGGCAACAAAACAAGACCCTAGGATCCTGTATTAAAGAAAAGTCCAACTATATTTTGCGTCGGCAGCTAACAGGTAGCCAACGTTAACTATTAACCAAAGAGAACTTACTTTATTGCTTTAAGAGAACATAGCTCAGAGTAGTCATCACTGATATGTGCCATCTTTCTGGCCCTTCATTCTTATAATTTACATATTTATTATTTATTCAATGTTGATTGGTACACTGACTAAGAGTTGGGAACATTTCTATTCACGTAAGAGTGCAGATAGTGGCAAGCAAACAAAATTCTTCTATCATAGGCGCCATTACAACAAAGTATTACCTGATTCCTTTGCTTTACCTCTTAGAACACTGTTGAGGAGAGGCCGCGCACGGTGGCTGAGGCCTGTAATCCCAGCACTTTGGGAGGCCAAAGTGGGCAGATCACAAGGTCAGGAGTTTGAGGCCAGCCTGACCAATATGGTGAAACTGCATCTCTACTAAAAATAAAAATATTAGCCAGGTGTGGTGGCATGCACCTGTAATCCCAGCTACTCGGGAGGTAGAGGCAGGAGTAGCGCTTGAACCTGGGAGGCAGAGGTTGCAGCGAGCCGATATCGCACCACTGCATTCCAGCCTGAGTCACAGAGCAAGGCTCCGTCTCGAGCAAAGAAAAAATAAAAGAATACTGTTGAGGAGAAACAGTAAATAAGAAATGTCAATAAACCAGCCATTATAAATAATGGAAAGACTCTCCTTAACAAGCAGAATGGTTCCCTTAAATAATCAGTGTAGTACAACTCTCCTGATACATTCCATGAATAAGCCCTCACGTCCACTCTACATAACGCTCAGAGAAGAGGGGTAACTCCAGGGGGTGCTGAAACCTGACAAGTTCCTGGCTGTCATCCCTGAACAACACAGTGCTTCTCTGATACTTCCCACTTGGAAGAAGGAAACCAATTTAGAAAAAAAAAATCATATAATTTATGGTACATTTTCTATTCCTTAAATACTTTGCAAACTGCGGCTAGTATTTCTCAACCACCGTTAACAGGGAAACCAACACACTGTTGCCACTTTTTGGCCACTTTGTCCCTGTGCTCCATGATGACACATGGAGCTCCTTTTCCTGTCTTTTCGTCTCTTCTTTCCTGTCTTTTCATCTTTTCAGCTCCTTTTCCTATCTTTTCATCTCTTTCTAAGCCTTAGTGGAGAGCGTTTTTCAAGTGTCTGTTCCCACTGACAGCAGAGGCTCAAAAACTGTGGTTCCAATAATAGTGCTTTGATTTGCCAAGTTTCCTCTGCTCAATAAGACTCTTTACCAACTTGCATTAAACAGCAAATAAAGTTAAGACTTCATCTAAAGTCATCAAAATGTATTCCCTTTGTATGGAAACCAGTACCAACAGAAGTAGTTCACAGTGATGACATACTGCTCCCAACGGGCCCTACGACAGCCCAAAGACTTAAAAGGACCAGTCTTCAAACCTGTCATCTCTCAGGTTTGTCTCACTTCTTGAAGAAAATAGCATTTAATGTGTATACGGCCAGATGGAGAGGGAGATTCTAAAAATCTCAGTGTGGCATGACAGAGTTATAGGTGGAGAGTCTTCATCTGCTATATCACCTCTCCCAGCAGAGAAGAACAAGGGCAAGAAACTAACCAGGGGGAATGTCTGGCTCAGTGATGGGCTGATAAGGGAGATGTTTCTTTCATAGGCTCTTCTTGCTGAGGAATCAGAGGGTAAGCAGTAAAAGGTGCATTTGTTCAACCAGGTAACTGCTAAGGTTCAGGCACTGTTCTGGGCACTGATGATACAGTACTGAACAAAAGAGAAAACATTCCTTTCTCTCATGGAGCTTCTTAGTAGAGGGGGAAACAGACAATTAAAATAACCAGAATGTCACTCGGTACTAAGTGCTACAGGGAGAAAGGCTTAGTTCAGAAGGATGGGAAGAGCTGAATACTGGGGGATGCTGTTTTGCCTAAGAGGCTTACAACTATTTATTACGGGCTGGTGGGTTAGTCTGACACAATCTATCCCACCAATACTAGAAATAGGAGAGGAAAAGCATGATTTTATTGCAAATTACTTTCTTTATATTTTTCTTTCCTGTTATACTTAGGGCATTATATTCATTTTTTAAAAGCTATTGTGAGTTTCACATCAAGAAAGTAAAGGAGGTTACAATGCACGTTTTGCATAAAAGAAGATGTAAGGTCCAGCTGGGGTTGAGAATTCCTACTGGGATGTGTTCACTTACCCGGTGGGCTCTGGGCACCCATTCCATACCAGGTCCTAACCGTCCTGGAGACCGTATTATCATAGGGAATCAGACTGAGACTTAATGGGCATGCCCAATAATTAAACAGTGAAAAGATGTTAAAAGTGTTTTAAAGGAAAGAAAGGAGGAGCTTACACAGAGATAGGCCTGGGGCGAGGGTCTGTTTAGATATAAGGAGCCTCCCAGAGGGAGAGTAGGCTGCTGGAACAGGCTCTCAGGTTGTATTTTACACTGGGGCACATCTCCCTGTCAGACAGCCACAAGGCAAGCATTCAGCAGCCACATGTGGCTCATGGCTGCATGCAGGATCCTGCAGAATGATGAAACAGAATGAGCTCTGAGAGCATGAACATAGAAGCTGGGTGACAAGGTTCATATGGGGGTCCCTACTGTATTCCCTCTACTTTTGAAATGTTTTAAGTTTCCCTCAAAAAAACGGTAAAAGAAAAATGAAGTCCTCAAAACCACTTCCACTTATCAGTTTCCTACAAACTATTCACTTAGTTCATGATAAGCAATAACAGATCCTTCAAACCATCAGAAAATGTTTCTAAGATGGGGCTAACATGTAATTTAGCATCTCAATCAGTCAGAAAGGCGCTAATGTAGCCTTCTAGCTGAAATTTAAATGATGCTAACAATTTGGAGGTTTGCTAAAAGGAGGCTGTGTGTGGTCTAAGGAAGAGTCAATATAACAAGCCACTAAGGGCTCTTAAAAAGAATCTAAAAATACAAAAACACTCACCTGCTACTCTGGCTTCGCTAAATGAATAGCTGACCATTAATCACATTGACACAGATTTTACAGGGCAGACATTGGTTAAAGCTCCTGTACATTTTTCACTCCTTTTAAACCATGAGGAATGAATAAAAATTATGTTCAATTTTAACTGCAGGACTTTAAAAAAAAAAGTATTTTGTCACAATTGCCTGAAAAACATCAGTGGCCTCAGTGTTAACCCTGCCAACCCCTCTTTCCACAAAACAAATGAGATACTATGGACCAGGGCAGATTCAGCAGGTCTCCACTTTCTCAGTGATCCCATCAGGTTCATACGTCAACAGACAACTCCAAGTGTGAGTGTCTTCATGTGGTCCCTGAATTGTTAGTAGTGCATGATAAAAAGACGACACACACACACACACACACACACACCCTTTCTCTCTCTCCAAATATAAGACTTAGAATAAACACTGGCATTCTTTTCTTAGTGGCTACTTCCCAAACCTTTCTGCATTTCTTTCCTTTGCTGTTCCATGGGAAAAAGTCTGTTCTACTTCCTTAAAGACAGTAAAAAATAATGATAATAATTAAAAATAAGCTGTTGAAAGAGCAACAGAATACGAAGGCAATCCAGCTTTAAGAAATGAGTTTGCTGTGATGAAAACTCTTCTCCAACAGATTCCTATTCTTTTTTCCCTAACCATCTGACCAGCGTGCTCAAATTCTAGCGTCAAATCGTGATACAGTACTTCGATTCTGAAAGAAGCTTCCCATTCCACTCTAGATAATGTATCTTGTAGAAATAAAGACACGAGAAAATAATAAATGCACACAGAGTTTTGCAGTCTTATTTGTGGCAAAACCCAAAAAACTGGAAGTAAGTTATGCCCATCAATAGGAAATGGTTGAATACATTAAGGTCTGTTTATACCATAGAGTATTAGACAGCTATTAAAAAGAATGTATTCCATATGTATTATCCTTGAAGGATTTGCCTTTTTAAAAATATGGCAGAACTAGTTATAAAGCATAGAATAAATAAAATAACATTTTTAACCATTCTCTAAAATCTTTGTGACTTGTGTTAGGCAATGGTTTCTTGGATGTGACACCAATGGCAGAAGCAACAAAACAGAGGAATTGGATGGACTACGTCACATTTTACACCTAATGCTGCAAACAGTACTACCAAGAAAGTGAAAAGCAAGCCAGTAAAATGAGAGAAAATATTTGCAAATGTGACAAGGAATTTTTATTCAAAATATATAAAGAACTCTTATGATTCAATAAAAAAACTAATGAAAAAATGGGCAAAATATCTGAACAGCGATTTCTCCAAAAAAAAAATATAAAAATGGCCAATAAGCATATGAAAAGATACTCAATATCATTAGTCCTCTGGAACATGTGAATCAAAACCACAATGCAATACCACTCTTTCATACCTATTAGGATGGCTACAGTAAGGAGGACAGACAATATCAAGTATTAGCATAGATGTGGGGAAATTAGAAACTTCATACATTGCTAGTAAGAATGCAAAATCAAACAGTTGCTTTGGCGATTCCTCAGAAAAGTAAACACAGTTACCATATAACCCAACAATTTCACTACCAGGTATGTACCCAGGAAAAATAAAAACACATGTCCACACAAAATCTTATACACAAATGTTCATAGCAGCATTATTCACAATAGCCAAAACATGTACATAACCCAGAGGTCCATCAATGGGTGAAAGGATAAACAAAATGAGGTATATTCACACAATAGAATATGTACTACTTGACCCCCTGAAAAGGAATTAAGTACTGTTACAAGGTACACCATAGATGAACCTTGGAAACCTTATGTTAAGTGAACAAAGCCAGTCGCAAAAGCCCATGTATAAATCTACAGCGACAGGATTAGTGGTTGCCTAGGGCTTGTGGTAGGGGTCGGGGAGAAATAAGGTTTAGGTTTCTTTTGGAGAGGATGAAAATGTTCTAAGACTAGACTGTGAGAATGGTTATACAACCCTGTAAATATACTAAAAAGCAATGAATTGCATATTCTAAATGGTACTTGAATTGTACACTTTATATCATATATGAATTATATCTCAATAAAGCTGTCTAAAAAAAGGACTGCTTTTAAAAAAAATAATTAGCAAACCTAGAAACAGAAGAAAATGAAGACCATGCAATATTTTTGAATTATGCGGATTTTAAATAATCCACTTAAATATGCTGCTGTGGTCATTAAAATTATGTTTTTGAAACACATTTAATGTTGGTTTATTACACAAATAAGGCAGAGTACAAGACTATAAATAAATTTTATAAAGCAAGAATATATTTTTAAAGAAAAGGCTGATATTAATCGTGATTATCTCTAGATGGCAGAATTATGAGTAATTTAAAAACTGTGCTTTAGAATTTTCTATCCTTTTCTAAATCTTCTCCAGTAAGCATGCATTGTTTTTATAATCATAAAAATAGCTATTTAATGTTTTAGATGAGCCACAAGGAGCTCAAGCATGCAGTGGCGGAAGTATTTAACTACATTTTTTGCTGACATCCTGGATTAGAGGCTATTTTCCCTCTGTACTGCGTAAAAAAAAAAACACCCCAAAACTTCATAGCTTAAAACCACCACCATTTTATTGGCTCATAATGATAGGCGTCAAAAACGCAAGGAAGGCTCAACATTGTGTTCCTGCGACAGCTGAGAGAGAGCTGATGATCCAAGGTGACCCCACACATGTACTGAGGTCTTGGTGATGCTGCTGAAGGAGTGAAAGACAGGCCATCCCAGAATATGCCAGATTTTTATACTGATTAGCGTGAGCTGAAAATACAGAAGAAGTTGTAGATTCCAACTTGATCCTAACAATCTAGGGGACCTGGCTTTTCCTGTGTGTAGCAAGTCACGGAGATTCTTTTGGGAGGGGCACCCTCACCTGTCCAGGTGAGAAAAGAGCCCTTATCCCAGAAACTGGGGATTGGAAGCTCTTATGACCTGAATAAATACATTTCTGGAAGTAGCCCTTATCTTCCATCTGTTTTATACTCGCTATGTGTCTTCCTAGTGACTCCCCTAGAAATTTACTGCCCCAGACAGATTTTGTCTGGTCATTTCTTCTCAAATGTACTGTTCTTAGCATAAAAGTATCTTGCTTTGGCCACTTCCTTCGGATTTCACTCTTTTAAAAATTCCCAGGTACAGGCGTGGTGGCACGAGCCTGTGGTCCCAGCTACTCGGGAGGCTGAAGTGGAAGAATCGCTTGAACCCAGAGGCAGAGGATGCAGTGGGCCAAGATTGCACCACCGCACTCCAGCCTGGTGACAGAGTAAGACTCCATCTCAAAAAAAAAAAAAGATTCCCAGGTACATGTAAAACTAAGAAAATGTGTATACCTTTCTCTTGTTAAACTGCCTGATGTCAATTTGGATTCTAGATCCAGCTGAAGAGCCCACTAAGAGCTACAGGGGGGTTGGAGGGGACTTCTGTCTCCCCTACACTGTCAGCGAGGCCTTCTGGGCCACCTGGCTTCTTAAGACCTGGCTTCTCAGACAAGCACAGTGGCTCATGCCTGTAATCCCACCACCTTGAGAGGCCCACACAGGAGGACGGCTTAAGTTCAGGAGTTTGAGACCAGCCTCAGCAACATAATGAGACCTTGTCTAGACAAAAAATTTTAAAAATTAGCCAGGTGTGGTGGTGTGCACCTGTGGTCCCAGCTACTCAAGAGGCTGAGGTGGGAGGATGCCTTGAGCCTGGAAGGTAGAGGCTGCATTAAGCCCTAATCGTGCCACTGCACTCTAGCCTGGGTAACAGAACAAGGCCCTATTTCTTAAAATAATAATAATAATTAAAAAATAAAACACAGGAAAAGAAGTGAATACTAATTTCAGCTACCAGCAACATTTTACTGTAGTGGGAACTGACAATCTTCCCCTTTACTAAAGGGTTACACAATAAATATTCTAGGCTTTGCGGGCCAGTCACTGTCACAATGACTCACCTCTGTTGTTTGTGCGAAAGCGGCTATAAACTGGCAAACAAATGAGTGTGGCTGTGTTCCCATCAAACTTATCTATGGACACTGAAATTTGAATTTCATAGAATTTTCACATTATGAATGGTTTTGTTTTTTTTTTTTTTTTTTTTTTTTTTACATTTTTATGTATGTACATAAAAACTATCCTTACTTCGTGGCCACACAAAAAACAAGCAGTGGGCCAGATCCAGCCCACCAGCCACAGTCTGCCAAATCCTGTGCTATAGTTAATTCAAGACATAAAAATGTCTGAAGAGGAGCATTCTGTTGCATACCTTATCCACAAATCCACACACCATCCTTGTGTAGCGCACACAACCCTTAGCTACTGAATTTTCTACTGTTCTCAAACTGTTCTACTTAAGAGCCAGTGTTACTTTTCATTAAACTTTTCTCTGTACTTCAACTATTGTTTCTTTTTAACCTGTTTTGTTACTGATTGCAACTGTCAGGCCTACTCATTTCCTCTGCAGGGAGGCCCCTCAAACCTCAAGTTGCACACCTTGCCTTTATTTGCTAGAAAATGCCAGCAATCTAAAAATTAGGAAACTACCTTGTTCTGATCATGATATTCCTAACGTAGTGTTTTATTTTACTGATGCAACAAAGTACTGATGACTAACAAATTAATGGATAATAACAGTGTCCATGAACCTAAAATGAAAGTGCCATCAACTTGACACTTGAGACTTTAGCTAACAAAGTACACAAAGAACAAACCACATGGTTGACACTCGGTGGTGGGGGTGTTAGAAGCAGGAACCCGGTGACAAGCACATCACAGGACCTCCAAAGACCTCAGAGTGTCTGTTTTTCCATTAAACCTGCCTCTCTTGTGAATTCCTCCACACCGGAACTTGGCTCCTAGACTCTCTATTCAGGGAGGGAAAACTAGCATCCGAGGTTAGTCAGGTTCATGCACCACATTAACCCTTGCTGGGAACACTTGGTAATCTCAACAGGCATTTGAAGAGACACAGATGGTCCAGTCATCTTTACACATGCATCATTTGCGTCTGAAAATCCTGGCACTACCCACGACCTTGGGAATGAACAATGTGCGGTCATCAACCACGTCGCCTGACATCTTCTTTACGATAAGACTGATCTTTCAGATCCTTCTTATTTTTGCATAGCTGAGGCCATCTCTGAAGCGAAAAAAACAGCTACTTTTTACATGTACAATATAAATAAAAATGCATAAACTTTATGTTGGATCAAGTTGACAAACTTGCTACTCAACCAGCAGCCTCTAACAAGGGCAGCTATCTGAGCTTAAGACAGCTGGACTGCTCTGACTCAACACTTCTGAGTTCTGCTCATATCACAGACTCAAGGCTTTTCCTTAAGGCTTGAACAGTATTTGCAATTGCCATTTTTCTCAGTGATCCTACGTCTTCCACACTGTAGTACAGACCCCAAGTTTTCACAACCCGAAGGTGGGACAAGTGCAGGAAACTTCAATCAGAGTCAGGTTTGATCCTGACTGCAGAGCTGGCAGTGTGGGCTTAGCCGAGTCACTTACTCTCTCTGACCTGTTTGTTCATCTGCCAAATGTGAATAATGACTTGTCCCCACCCTTCCCCTCAGTGCTGGGTACAGATCAGGTGAGATGACAAAGGTGAAACTCCTTCCTCAACTGTTGAAAACAAGTTATTTTCTTCTTCCATAAACTTTCCCCCTCAAGAAGCAACTGCTCTCCTCTGTTCAGTTCTGCAGGGTTTGATAAACAAGACTGTTGAGCCCATGTATTGTTATGGTTTGAATCACAACTTCATCTTTCGATACTGGAGGGTCCCTTCTGACTGTAATTTCTTCTCATGGTTTGGTACCTCTTCCAGTCACCCCTCCATTAGCCTTTCCCAGTCTCTCCTGTAGCTTTCCTACCAAGCAGTTCACACACACACACACACACACACACACACACACACACACTCTCACTATTCAAAGTGTAACATCTTGAAATATTTTCTTCATATCCCTCCTGAAACTGCCCAGCACTTTCTTGCCCTGAACATTCCCGGCTACAATAAGCACCACATCAGCCCAATACCCATTAGAAAATGAATGATTCCTATCTGAAATTCTCACAAGCCTGGAGCTCATTACTTTATATGTATAATGCAGTCTTTTTTTCCCTTCAATGCATTACCTCACATTTGTCTGTATTACAATTTAGTATGCCAACTTCCCCACTCTGTTTCACGTGTGTGGCAAACCATATTTCAGTTTACTTTCCCCACTGGCTTGCTATTTAATGACAAAAATACTTGAGAGCAAAATGTAAATTTAGGCAATCTCAAAGATATTACTGATTGGGCCTTTTTAATTAAAAACTAGCACTGGTATCTGTGGTACTAAGAGTTAATCAATACTAGGTACACTTTGCCTCAATCCCTTGTTTTTCCTCTTATAACCATTCCCTCTACTTCTTTCACCAAAGAAGGTTGTTTAAAAAACTTAAGCTTATACACCTTCCGCCAAAAGCTAACACCCAATGTGTTTCACTATTATTTTTTGTAAAGTACTTGTTCGTTTCATGATACTCTAAATACATATATGTTCATGATTATATTTAAAAAATACCTACTGGCTTGCATTGTCCTCTTAAAAATATTTCCTACCTCAAACGAAACATTCTATTAGGGAAACATAATTTGTCCATCAGAAAAACTGACACTCTCCAATGTCTAGTATCAGCTCAAGCTCCCCGGCATCAGAATGATCCCTGGTCTATAGGATGCTGCCCACTAAAAATCTTTCCAGTGTCTCAGGCATATGGCAAAGCGGCCACTTGTAAATTATCCTGGAGTTCCTTGAATACTTCTGGAAAAATGCCCAGCCAATGACTGCTGCTTCCCAGCATGTCACTGCCCTCCCAAGTCATCTGAAGTTGTGCTTTGGTGTGTCCTTACAACACTGCTTAGGACGTCTTGTCTGCAGCTGTCCCATGCACAGCTGCTTCACTTTTTGGCCATACTGCTAAGTGTTCAGCTGTTAAAACAGGGGGCTATAAAGGTTATTTTTACACCTGTGGAACCTGTGCCGTGACAGCAGCCTCGTTACTTGTGATACTATTGTCATTTAATCCCAACCACAGATCTGCCAGGTATATATTTTTTCAAGAAGTCTAATATTTACATTTTCAATAGGACTTTGATTCTGAAAATGGTTCTGCTTGAATTAAAGGGGTTTAAAATTACGAGAGAGAAAGTACAACTTATAATTACACAGCATAAGAGATGACATCCAGATAATTTTTTAAGAGGAGTTTAACAAAGTCCCAGTATATACTCTTAACTGATTTTCTTTTTCTTTAACAATGTTTTGGCTATTTAGCATCTGATGAGATACTTACTGCAAAACAGAGTGGGCTAAAACATGGCCAGGCGAGGTGGCTCAAGCCTGTTATCTCAGCACTCTGGAAGGCCAAGGTGGGCGGATCATGAGGTCAGGAGACCAAGACCATCCTGGCTAACAGTGAAACCCATCTCTACTAAAAATACCAAACAGTAAGCCAGGTGTGGTGGAACACACCTATAGTCCCAGCTACTCAGGAGACTGAGGCAGGAGAATCGCTTCAACCCAGGAAGTTTAGGTTGCAGTGAGTCAAGATCATGCCACTGCACTCTAGCCTGGGCAA